GAGCGCCTTGCTGCACTCCCGGCACGGCGGCAGGGTCACGCGTCGGGGGCTGCTAAGGGTGCCCTCGGCCCGAGGTTCAGGAGAGGAAAAAACACAGACACAACTAATCCTCGATTCCTCAGAAAGTACGGGAGAATATGGGAAGTGGGGGGGAAGACAGAAACCCAGAAAATACGGGTAAATATGGGGAATAGTTGCATTTGTGTATTTATTTGTATGTCCTGGGGCCCCTTCAGAGGTGCCCCCAGCTTTTGCGCTCCAGGCTCCAGCCTGGGGCCTCGGGGGGGCCCCTGGGCCTCGCGATCGGTGCTCTCTGAAGGCCGTGGGGGGGCCTCCTCGGAGATCCTGGGGGCACCTCCCAAGGCCGCGCTGACGGCGATGTTGGTCCACAGCGGTGTTGGGAGCCCGCGCAGAACAAGCTGTAGGAAATCACGAGCCACACCTTCCAACAGCTCAAAAATGTGCGAATGCACCGGGCAAAAAACGGCGCAGCGACTTGCAGGAAAGCGCTAGCAACCATGTCCTACGATTGGTGTGGCCACGAACCAGTCCCACCTACGGTGCCGAACCCTACATCGCCGTTGCCTACATTGCCGATAGCGCGTCTACGGACCTTGGGCCAGGGGTGCTCCGAGCAGCACCCGAACGTACAGCCAGGCTCCGCCCACCGGAAGCCCCCAGCGGGCGCACCGGGCGATCACTCGGCGGCGCGCCGAGGGAGGGAGGGAGGGAAGGGGGGGGGGAAGGGAAAGAGGGAGGGAGGGAGGGAGGAGGGAGGAGGAGGAGGAGGAGGAGGAGGAGGAGGAGGAGGCGGAGGAGGAGGCGGAGGGGGGGGAGGAGGAGGCGGAGGGGGGAGGAGGAGGAGGAGGAGGAGGAGGAGGAGGAGGAGGAGGAGGAGGAGGAGGAGGAGGAGGAGGAGAAAGAGGCGGAGGAGGAGGAGGCGGAGGAGGAGGAGGAGGAGGACGAGGCGGGGGCAGGCCTTCCCCTCCCCGCTTCTTTTCTTGTTGCGAAGCCCTCCGCGGCCTCGGAGGAGGCTCGGGGAGCTCCCCAGAGGGCCGGCGGCCTGCCGAGCCTTCTGGGGAGGCCTGGCCCCTCGGCCTGCCCCCCGGCTGGCCATCGCTCGGACGTCCATGCCCCGTGCTTGTCTCGGTCTCTGGCGAGGTTTTTTTTCGCAGGATGATCCAGGATGCTCCTTACTAATCCCCGCCGAGAAGAAGTGCACACGTCCGAGCGATGCCAAGCCCAGTGGGCCAGAAAACAAATGACACCACCCCCCCTGGCGGCCCCACGGGCCTTAGCATATAGCATTAGGTCGGGCATGTCCCCCATGCAGGCCAGGCGGATTTGGGGCGAAACATTAAAAACACTCCAAACATATTCCAAAGTAGCCAAAAATGCTAAACACAAATCGTCCCCTGACTATTTGTTAACTATATTTGAATATTCCTCCTGTAGAGTGACATGCCCGACTTCAATATAGCATGAAATCTTGCTCGGCCTTGTGCGTGGTATACGCTGCGGCCCCCGATGGGCCGCAGCGAAACGTGGAGGGCCGCAGGTGTGGCGGTGGCGCTTGGCTTCTAGTCGACCCTGGGTGCGCCGCCGAAATCACCTGCACCTCGGCGTGGATCTCGTACTTCCGTTTCCACTCCTTGCGCTTCGGTGGCAACTCATGGGAGCCTCCCGTACCATCTCGTCGGCTCTTGCGAATCGACGCAACGTCGACGCTAGCTCGACGCTAGTCGACGCTGAATCGACGCTAACCGACGCTACATCGAAGCTATCTCATCGACTCCCAGACGCTTATCGAAGCTAGACGACGCTAAGGAATCGCGAGGGTGCACAAGGCCCCCATGATTTGCTGCAGTAGGGGGGGGGGGTCCACAAGAAACCCGACCCTGAGACCCAGGACGTCCATGGATTTGTGGCGTGGGAACGCCACGCTTCCCATAGCAAGACCATCGAAACCCAGGAAACCCAGAGCACCCTGGAGGCCAGCAGGGTGTTTCTTTTGGGGCAGGGACCGACCGTCCCGGCACTCCTATAGTCCTACCATGAAATGTTCTTAGAACCCGAACATGCTTTAAGAACAAAACCCATGTTCTCAGAACAGAAACCCGATGTGACAAAACAAGACAGCCCCGACCAGACACGTTCTAAGCTCTAAGCACATTTCGTGGGAACCACAAAAGGTTCTTAGAACATTGTTTGGTGGGGCTAGTGGCGAGCCGGGCCGCTTCGCCACTGCTTGACAGTTATAGATGGCAAGTACTGAAATGAGCTCCTCCTGCTGTGGTGAGATGGTGTGGGTGGATGAGGCACCTGGCCTCGCCCGCATGGGAGCCCATCGCCGTCCCCATCGACGGAGCCCGTTTGGTAGGACTCTAGGCGCGCCAGGACGCTTCGCCACTGCTCGAGTCTTGGCATGGGCCCCCACTGCACCGACCTCCGCTCCTTGCGCCACGCAGGGGCGGCGGCGAGAGCGGCGGCCGCGGCGGCGGCGGCCGCGGCGCCCGCGGGCGCGAAGCGCGGGGGCGCGTTGACGCCCATGCCGACGACGTGGACGTCGCGCCCGCTGCTCGTGCTGGAGACGCGGCAGACTACGGCGCTGCAGTGGCCGGCGAAGAAGCCCTCTTCGGCGGCGAGCGAGGGGGGGAGGAGGACAGTGAGGACAGTGCCGAGAGCGTGCAGGTGAATCACGAACACGCCTCGAAAAGGAAAGGGACGAGAAAGAGACCCTCATCCAACAAGGGGCACTCTCCGCGCCGTGCGCGGGGCCGGGGAGCAACGGTGCGAGGGTCACTAACGGCGCACCGCCGGGCAGTCCCCACTCGCACCGCGCCCCCCGTTGGGCAGACAAACCCACGCCTGTACTTCCGCCCACTATGCAGGTGCCTCGGGCTCGGGCGCCTGCTGCGGCATCGCAGGCTCCCCGAGCTCCGAGAAGACGAGCGGCTCGAGGGGCTCGCCCGTCTTGGGATGCAGGCCCCTTCGAGCCTGCTCGAGCATCGACGCGATGGCTCCGTCCCCCCCACTCCCAGCTCCCGCCGACCCCGTCCCAGCCCTCTTGCACGCTCGAGACAGGCCGACCGACAGCCGATTGGGGCGCACAGCGTGCGCCCCGCACTTTACACAGATCAAAACTCGATCCAAGGCCTGGACCTGGTGTCCTGGCCCGACCTCCTGGGGGTCGCATGCACGGGAGGCCAGAGACTTCAACGACGAAGCCGTCGCTGCAAGCCTCCAGCAGGCACGACAGCGAATCGCTCCCCCAGCGAAGACCACAAAGTCGTGATCGGTCGGCCGCCGCGGACGGCGGGGCCGAAAGACAGCCTTCGGAGGCGCACGGAGTATCGGGGTGGAGAGGCGGGCCACGCGCTCGGCAGCCCAGGCCAGACAACGCATCGTGTCCTGGGCCCGAAGCAGAGAAAATTTGTGAGCCTTGACCACGGAGGTGGATCCAAGGAAATCTGCCGCAGCCACGCGGGCGAAAACATCAGCCCACATATTACCGAAAAAATGCTCCAGGGGCTCCTGGGAAGCCAGGCAGGCATCAAACCCCTCGATGACGGTCCGATGGGCCTTCGTCCAAACAAACACGGGCCTGACAGGGTCGCCTCTATACAGCTCGTGGATGCTCCGCCAGATGGACGCGTGAGGCGCTCTGGCAGAAGCATGACGGCCCTCCCAGGCCATTCCCTCGACCTGCAGCTGTAAATGATCAGTCACGTACGTGGCTGGCCTCTGGGCCCTCTGCAGGGCCTTGAGACCAGCAACGCGCTCGGCCCTGGGCACCGTCTGGATAGGGCCCCCCAGGCTCCCGAACAAAGCTTTGTATGGCCACAGGTCTCGGGTCAATGCCACGACGGCCCAGCCACAGCGCCGTTCCTCAGGGAAATCACTTTCAAGACAGGACCCGTCCCCGTACAACTTCGACGGCCACGGCATGTCGATCGCCCCCCACTCGCGCTCAGCCTGAGCACGTGCAGGCAGCGGCCTGAAAACAGGCCTCAGGGGCAGCGCGTAGAGCACGTCGATGGCCGAGAAGTCCTGCACCTGGCCCCCGTCGCGCCACGGGGCTGCCTCCAGGATGTCCTTCCTCCTCTTGGCCACCTCCTCGGGGTACGGCTCCGTCTCCTCGTCCTCCTGCTGCTGATGCAATACCTTGCAGCCGAAGATCTCATGCTCGAGGTCGCAGCAGGCCTCCCCGCAGAACTCGCACGAACCGTCGCCGCCGTAGCCAGCCTGCATGCGGCGCTGCGGCGACCAGAACCCGTTGGACTGCAGCTTGGCCAGAGCCCCTCTGTGGCCAGGCGCCAAGGAAGCGTGTCCCAGTCGAAGCGCACGAAGCCACACATGCTGCTGCCGCCTGCCGTCACCATCGGCTGGGGGCGCCTCAGGCAGCTGGTCGAGGATACGATGGCTCTGCCAACGGTCGAGGCTGCGACGCAGGAAAAACAGCACCTCACTGGGACAATACTGCAGCAAACTGATATGCAGGCCCTCATCGTCAACCAAGATAGTAGAACTTGCCATGTTCCAGTTGACTCTCCTGAGGGACAACCACAAAGCCGACAGCGGGCCCTGCGCACTGGCCCACGTGACGTGAGTGTGGCGGGCTTCCCAGGAGTCACGCAAGCCCATCCAGGCCCGCTGCAGTCGGGAGAGCGTCACACGCCCATCCCACACCCACGCCGCGTACTGCCCCACGATGCTGAAGGTAGCGTGGAATATGGGGTCGAAGTTCCACTGCTGCGCGGCCAGGTACAGCGTCAGGGAGCCCGACCCCTTGTAGCCACAGAAGACGCCAGCCATGGTCCTCATCTGCTGCAGCTCCGTGTCGCTGATGCCGCTGACCGTGGCTCCGTGCCCCACGGATGGCAGCACACCCGTGGCCCAGAGCCGAGCCGCCCGCTGTCGTCCTGCTCCCTTCTGCAATGCTCGAACGCTGGCCTTCTTGCCGTGCATGGCCTTCAGGCGTCCCTTCTGCACGGCCCTTGTGGCCGACGACCCAGCTAGGTCGTGGCCAAGATACCGCATGTGCCTCTTGCCAGCGATCTTCAGCAGCCTAGCGTACTTCTGAAAGTGGTAGCTGGTGCGCCTGGACGTCGTTAGGTGCCCAGACTTATCCATCTGCAGCACCAGCCCGAGGGGCCGGACAGCCCTGCAGAACGCACGAGTGGCAATGGCCATTTCTCGCACCCCGCTCGGGTCGTTGCCGACCCAGCACAGCGCGACGTCGTCCACCAAGTCCTTGGGCTGAACCTGAGGAGCGACCGACATCGTCTGGCGAATGCTGCGAGTCAACAACACCATGAGAAGCGTAGTGGCGTGGGTGCAGCCTGCCAGGATGCCCTGATACGCCCTGCGCGCCACTGAATACGAAGAATACGAGTACACCGAACGCAGCTGCTGGTACATCTGCACAAGCATGAACGCCATTCGCATAGGATATCCATTGGCCCTGCACTCCAACAAAATGGCATCATGCCTGACCAGCTCGTAGCATTTGAGCATGTCCAGCAGCACAATGATGGCGTCGTCATCGCACAGGGTCGCCATCTCCTTGGTGAGAGCCAAATCAAAGGCCGCATCACTCGACGACTTGCCTCCAGTGTGGCCCCAGACCTCTGGGAGCGCATGGGCCTTCTCCCACGCTGCCGAGACAGGCCGCCTCGCCCGTCCCCAGATCCTGACCAGCGTGTTCATCAGCACAATCAGGCGCTCCCCACCCCCTGGCTTGGGGAGTCTCACGAGCTTCGAGAGGAATCTGCCGTCTGGCCACAGCAGGAGGTGCTCGCACCGCTCGAAGAGGCGCGCCATGGCCGTCAGCGCCCCGTGGGAGAGGTGCTCCATGGCCCTGGGCGCGATGTTGATCTGCCCGACGCCTGTCTGCCAAGAGAAACAACGGATTGCCTTGAGTACGTCGGCCGCCTCAAGCCTTGGCAGCTGCTCCCAAGTGTCAGCATCAACAGGTCGGCGAGCCAGCTCACCGCCATGCCGCACCCAGAAGCTTTCCCAATATTCAAGCTTACGATCAGCCAGTACGTACCCATGTTGTAGCCCATTGCCTCCGTCCACGATCTCCTGGAGAGCCTTGGGCTTCATGAATCGGTGAGCTCCCTTGGCTCCAGCCACAAAAGCTGCCTGCGCCCACTGCCTCCAGCTCTGCATCACGGCCTTCTCATGCTTGGCCTCAGCATCGGAGGAGATACTCAGGATGCGGTCGACCTGCTGCTCGAAGTCTGCCTGCGCTAAGGCAAGTATGCCACGCGAGAAGAAGCCGACGGCCTCGGCGTCCAGGTGCGGCCAGACTCCCTTCCTCCGCCAGATTCTCTGGAAGAAATTCTCGCACTCCAGCAGGTGGCGCGCCGCCTTGGAGTGCACGGCGTCCCACGATAGGTCCTCGCCTGCACGTCGCGGGGGCTGGTGTCGCTGAGCTCTCGACCGAGGCCGACCACCATCGGAGGAGAGACCAGCCACTCCGACGACCTCCGCAGCAGGGGGTGCCCCATCGCCCAGGCCAGGCACTCCGTCGACGTGCGCCTCGCCGACGCTGCCGAGCTCGAAGACCTGCTGCGGGCGAAGCTGGAGCACGAAGCTCTGCAAGGCCACTCGAACCCTCCTGAGGTGACGAGCCCAGCGCGCAGCCTGCGCCCAGGCCTGGGTGTCCGCCGACCTCCTGCTCCAGGCACCTTTCACGACAGGGTGAAAACTCGCCAGCTCGAAGGTTGGGGGGCCTGGCACCGTGGAGTACTCCGCCACGTCATTCACGAGGTCGTAGCGGCCCCGCAGCTCGAACTCGATGCCGCTGAGCACGACGTCCCAGGCCCTGGTGATGCCCTCGCTGTCCGACGCACTCTGGATGATCGCCAAAATCGGGTCCCAGTCGGGGGGGAACCTCGCGCACCCCGCCGCAGGCGGCCTACGAATGCCGCGTGGCTCGACTAGCCTCCTGACCTTCACGTCGAAAGGCGTGGCGGAGAACTCCATGGTCACGGGAAGATGCGGCCACGTCTCCGCGTCGACGACCACTGGTTGCCGAACGCGAGGCAGCAAACGACAAGACACCATGAACATGTCAATGGTGCGGCCAGGAAGGCTCTGAAGACAAGTTGGCTCTCTCGGCGCCAGCACCACGCCGTTGGCCGACTGGAGCCAGGACAACGGGCCGAGCTCGCCTACCTCCATGTTGAAGTCGCCTCCGACGATCCACGGAACTCCCATGGCCTCAAGCGACCTGACATACTGGTACAGCTTGTACAGCATGGCCAGGTTCTCAGGCGACAGCTTCACGTCCACAATGAAATAGCACGACAGCATGACGAAGCCGCCCTTCACCCCCGCGTGGACATGGGCCGCCATCATCCTGCCTTCCTGCAGCACGTGACTGTCCAGGCCTGGGGGTTTGGTGATGACCACCCGCAAAGGGGCCAGCACCGCAACCCCGCCTCTGCTGCCAACTCCCTGCCCAGGTAAAGCGGGCTCCCAAATGCCATGGTACCCAGCAGCTCTTACCTTATTCTGCAACTTCGCCAAGGCATCGCCCTCGGCCTTGGCATGATGTTCCTGCACCGCGATGCATAAGCTCGAGCACGTGGGCAGGAAATCGACGAGCGGGCCGCCCGAGGACACGTTCACGGTGGTAATACTTGCAACAGAAGCCATGGTGCGACAAAGGAGGACGAACCACACAATACACGCAAAACACCGCCGTGGAGCCAGGCTAGACAGGGGTGAGCCTTGGCTTCTTGACCTTGGCACCCCAACGCATGAAGATCTCCTCCAGCCTGTGCTTCTCGCCACCAGCGGCGACGACCTCCTCCATGAAATCGGGGTCGTCGGAGAAGGCCGTTGGCTGTGGTGTGCGTGGCGCTGCAGCATCGACCTGCCGCTCGTCCTGCTCGACGTTGGCCCCAGCCTCGGCCCCAGCATCGGCCTGCGCCTTCTGGGCTGCCAACTTTGCCGCCTCCGCCTCCTGCAGCCTCTGCAACTCCTGGAAGCTCGCCGTGAGGCTGCCCGACAGCTGGTGATCGGCGCCCAGGCTCTGAAGCAGGATCCCCAGGCCCTCGAGCGTGGCACCAACCCCCCTGATCGGCTCATCGAGCGACGCCTTGTCGCCTGGCGTCGGAACCTGTCCTTGAAGCTTCTTGCGCTCCTGGTCCAGCTCCTCCATGCTTGCATCGATGGCCGCCAGCTTGTCGCGAGTGAGCCGTTCCTTCTCCTGCAGGTCGCGCATCTGCGCCTGCAGCCCATCGAGCTTGGTCTGCTGGTCGTCGCGCAGCTTCTGCAGCCTGGTGAACTGAGCTCCCATCTCGCGCAGTCGCTGCCCGAGCGGTCGGGACTCCGCCACCTTGGCTCGCAGCTCGGCCTGCTCTGCCAGCAGCTTGTCGCGCGTGGCCACGACCGACGGCTCGGAGATGCCCTTGAGCTTGCCGATGAGGTCGCCGACCTCGCGCAGCCTGTCCTTGGCGACGGACTCGGGGCCGTCCCCGTCCGCGGCCGGCTCCATCTGCACGTCCTCCCCGCCAGGCGGCGGCCTCTGCACCGCAGCCAGCCGCTTGCGGGCCTCTGCGAGCTCGGACTTGAGCTGGGCCACCCTGACGGAGTCATCCCAGTGCCGTTGCCGCCGCCGCCCTGATGACCCTTCCTCCGCTGGGAGGGGGCCGAGGGCTGGCGCACGCCATGGAAGACCAGTCCCTTGCCGAGCTTGCACTTCGCACACTGCCGCGCCTCAGCATGATTCCACCACGGTCTCCCCGAGGGCCCGCAGCAGCTCTTGCAGTACCAAGGAAGCGCCTGCTCCGAGCGGTAATGCGGCGGTGGCATCTCCACGACGCCAGGCAGCAGCCCACTCGGCGGGCCGTGGCAGCGCGATCTGGAAAGGACTGGATGTGGGCGCCCAACTCCCACGGTGAAGGCGAGCGGTGGTCTGGCCGCGGACTAGCGGTATCCGTGCGGTCCCCAGGGGAACCAATCATCTTGAGCCAAAATGGCTACGGACGCGAGGGGGGGAGGAGGAGGAGGAGGAGGAGGAGGAGGAGGAGGAGGAGGAGGAGGAGGAGGAGGAGGAGGAGGAGGAGGAGGAGGAGGGACACTCCTTATCGAAGGGTCCCTTCGGTAGCAACTCTGGGGAAGTGAGAAGGAGAAGGCCGTCTCAGAAGGTTCGGAAGTCCCCCGGCCTTCTGAGAAGTTTCCTAAGCCTCCCCCGAAGACACAGAAAGCTTCTCAGAAGGCGCAAGGGCTTCTGGGAAGTCCCGCCTCCTTCTGAGAAGGACTTCTCCTTCTCACTTCCCCCCCTCGCTCGCCCCCGACCTTTGCCTTGAACGTGTTGAGGCGGTTTGCAGACGCCAGCCGCAGGAGGTTCTCGTCCAGGCTCAGGGCAGGGTCCCACTGCCAGCCGAAGGTGTCGAAGGACTTGAAAGGGCCGCCCGGGCTGGTGGAGGCCGCCCAACTGGTGGCGAGGAGTCGGCGAATGTCGAGACGGGGCAAAATCGGAGTCTGGGCCGAGCCACACCGCCGAGGCATCGGCGACGCGGAGCGATTCGCCCCCAGAGACCCGATGCATAACCCATCCCCTGAGCAGCGTTCCTGCGAGAGCCCTACAAGTTTCTAACGCTTGTGGGGCATCGTCACGATCCCGAACCCGTAGCCCGTGTTCGATTGGAGTGGTCTCTGGTACGCTTGAGCATCAGGTACTGCGAGGCTCCAAGAGGCCAAAAAGAAGCCCCATCGAGGCCCCCAAACGGCCCCCAAGAGGCGTCCAAACTGCCTCCAAAAGGCCCCCGAGAAGCCTCCCACGAGATCCCGGCGAGCATAAAGTAGGCTTCATACCCACACCCCAGGCACGGTGGCGGGATGGGCCGAGGGCCATTCGATCCGCCGCCCCCTGTCGATTCATCGCAGGGGTGCCTGGCGTGCTAGACCTTTCGGTTTTGGTTATGGTTATTTTTCCCAAAGAGCTCCCCCTGGGGCTTCGGCCCGTCCCGCCGGCGACCCGAAAGACCAGGTTGCAAACGGTTGTTCTGCCCCAGACGGCCCAAGAGGCCCAAGATGGCTTCCAAGACGGCTAAGATGGTCCCAACATGCCTCCAAGACGGCCCAAGATGCACCCAAGACGGCCTAATATAGCCTCAAAATGGCCTAAGACGGCCCAAGAGGCCCCCAAGAGACCTCCCAGACGCTCCAAGAGGTCCTCCAGGAGGGCCCGAAGAGGCCAAAATCATTGATTGTACGAAGGTTTTTGAAGGAGTTTGGCATTTGCTTCTTTTCGGCCTTCCGACGGCTCAAGACGGCCCAAGAGGCCCCCACGATCGCCCACGAGGCCTCCAAGATGGCCCCATGAGGCCCCCAAGACGGCCCCAAGAGGGCCCCAAGACCGGCCAAAAGGCCTCCAAGACGCCCAAGATGGCCTCTAAGACGGCCCCGAAGCGCCCCAAGAGGGTCCTAAGTCGGCCCAGAGAGGCCCCCAAGACGGCTCCCCACGGCGTCAGACGTGCCAGAAACCCACCAAGATTGCCGAAGCTGGCTCGAAGCTGGCCCAAGACGGCCCAAGAGGGCCAGAAAAGGCCAGAAACATGTATGTCCCCTACGTTTTGGAGGAGTTTGACATTTGCTTCTTCTCGGCCTTCCGACGGCCCGAGACGGCCCAGGAGCCCCAAAGATCGCCCAAAGATCGCCCAAGAGGCCTCCAAAATGGCTCCAGGACGGCCCAAGAGGCCCCCAAGACGGCCCCAAGAGGCCCCTAAGACGGCCCAGGAGGCCTTTAAGATGCTCAAGATGGCCTCCAAGACAGCCCTGGAGCAGTCCAAGAGGGCCCCAAGTCGGCCCAGAGATCCCCCCAAAACGGCTTCCGACGGAGTCAGACGGGCCAGGAGCCCACCAAGACGGCAGAAGAGGCCTTAAGATGGCCCAAGACGGCCCAAGAGGCCTCCAAGAGGGCCTCCAGGAAGTGTTTGAAGGATTGTGGCATTTGCTTGTGTTCGGCCTTCCGGCGGCCCGAGAAGGCACAAGTGCCCCCAAAGATCGCCCAAGACGGCCCCAAGAGGCCCCCAAGACGGCCCAAGAGGCCTCCAAAATGCTCAAGATGGCCTCCGAGACGGCCCAAGAGCCCTCCAAGACGTCCTCCAAGAAGGCCCGAAAGGGTCAAAATGGACTCCAGACAACCAAGATGACCTTCAAGATGCCCACGTGTTCCCCGAAGGCTTTCCAAACCGATTCGGGGAACACATGGTCCGATAGCGTGGCAGGTCTGGCTGCAACGTTGGGCCACATAGGCGCTTCCAAAAAGGCATGGGGCGGCGGTGATTCGCCGTAGGCGTCTTCCATACATATGTAGACACAAATGTGTATGCACACACATATATATATATATATATATATATATACCTATACGACCACCCTGCGGGTGATAAGGAGGTGAGGGGGGAGGGGGAACCAACGTCTCACTCGATCGATCTCGCTATCGATCTCACAATCGATCTCACATTCGATCTCACTATCGATATCACTATCGATCTCGCTATCGATCTCACAATCGATATCACCATCGACGTCGTCATCATCGTCATCATCATCACCATCATCATCATCATCATCATCATCATCAGCATCATCATCATCATCATCATCATCATCATCATCATCGACATCACCATCAACATCATCATCATCAGCATCAGCATCAGCATCATCATCATCATCAACGTCGTCATCATCACAATCATCATCACCATCATGGCCATCATCACCATCATCACCAGCATCACCATCAGCATCGCACAATCGATCTGATTATCGATCTCACAGTCGAACTCCCAATCGATCTCACAATCGACGCCATCATCATCATCATCGTCATCATCATCATCACCATCATCACCATCATCACCATCATTACCATCATCACCATCATCATCTCACAATCGATCTGACTATCGATCTCACAATCGATCTCACTATCGATCTCACAATCGATCTCACATTCGGTCTCCCATCATCATCATCACCATCATCATCATCATAATCATCCACATCATCATCGGGACACCGACGGGACACCGCAGGACACCAGCTGGACACCGGCGGGACAACGCGCGCCACCGGCCGCCCGGAAGAGACACATTTGGTCCGGCCGCGCCTCAGCCACAGGGACACCGACGGGACACCAGCAGGACACCGGCGGGACACCGCGCGCCACTGGCCGCCCGGAAGAGACACATTTGGTTCGGCCGCGCCTCAGCCACAGGGACACCGACGGGACACCAGCGGGACACCCGCGGGACACCGCGCGCCATCGGCCGCCCGGAAGAGACACATTTGGTCCGGCCGCGCCTCAGCCACAGGAGATTTTCCTCTCGCCCGCGCAGCTTCGCCTCGCCCGCGCGCACGGCACGCACGAACACGAAACCGAAATCGATTTCCCGGTAGGGGGGCTCTCCGTTCCACTTCGATCTCACACCCTCACCTCCGATATACATATATATATATAGAGAGAGAGAGAGAGACAGAGCTGCAATTATATGCGCATATCGGCATCTACATACAAACATGCGTATGTACATATATGCATGAATGTATACATACATACATCCATGCATACATACATGCATACAAACATGCATGCATGCATGCATACACATGCACGTACATGCATGCATGTATGCATGCATGCATACATACATAGACACACGCAGGCATGCATACATACTTACAAACGTACATACATACGCACATACATACATGCACACGTACATGCATACATGCACGTTTACATACATACCTACATACATACATACATACATGCATGCATGCATACAGACATACAGACATACATGCATACATGCATACATGCATGCATGCATACATGCATACATGCATACATGCATGCATACATATACACATACATCAATGTACGTACATACATGCATACCTACATACATGCATGCATACATACTACAACTTCAGCAATGCATACACGCCTACATACATACATGCGAAAATGCATGTATACATACAGGCGGACAGGCATACACGTATACATACATGCATACAAGCACCCGTACACACATACACACATACATAGATTACATACAGTCATACATACATACATATAAACATACATACATATACATACATGCAAACATACATACATACATGCATGCATACATACATACATACACACATACATTCATGAATGCATGCACACATACTGCGCGTATCTACATACACACAAGCATGCACGTATGCCAACAACCATATATACGTACAGACACATCTACCTACATACCTCCATGCATATCTACATCCATGCATACATACAGACATACATGCATACATATGCACATGCATACATACAGGCAGATGGGCATACATACATACCTGCATACATACATGCATGTGCACATACACGCATACATACGTACATGCATGCATACAAACATGCATGCATGCATATATACATACACATATATATATATATATACAAATGTATATATACATTGGGAAAAAGGGAAGTGTCTGTGTGTGTGAGCATCTCGTCGTTCTCTCTCTCTCTCTCTCTTTCTCTCCGGGGCCTCACATCTGCTCGTTCGGCGTGCTCTGTCTCTCTCTCTCTCTCTCTCGCCCATGCTCCGAGAAACGCGATTCTGCTTCGCCGCCAAGGAGCTTCGGCCCTTCTCCCAGGGCCGGCTGCGCACCGACCCCCCAGGCCCGCGGATCGTCCTGGCCAGGCCCGGCCTCGGCGCCCTGCTGGCGCCCCGCCTCCGCCAGGCCTCCTCCTCTCGTCCCTCCTCCTCCCCCTCCCCCTGCCCCTCCTCCTCCTACTCCTCCTCCTCCTCCTCCCACTCCTCCTCCTCCTCCTCCTCGTCCTCCTCCGCCTCCTCCTCCTCCTCCTCTTCCGTTTCCTCATCCTCCTCCTCCTTTTCCGTTTCCTCCTCCTCCTCCTCCTCCTCCACTTTCTCCTCCTCCCCCGCTCCGAGGAGGCGGCCAGGGGGCCACCCTCTGGGTGACACAGAAGGGGGTCCAACTGAAACGGAGGAAAGAACAACTACATAAACATAAACTTATGGCGCTCCTCGCGGATTTCTCGGATCCGCGCCGGACCCACCTCCCTGGCGCGCGGAGCGCGCCAGGGGCGGCGCCAGAGGCGTCGCCAGGGGGGCCCAGCGCGGATCCAAGATATCCGCGCGGAGCGCCACAAGTTTATGTTTATGTGTTTTTTTCTGCTTCGATGGAGAGGGGTGTTGCAGTAGATCTGGGGCAATTGTGTATGGCAGGTGCACTGCGCCAGGAGACTGTGTTGCATTGTATTGCCACGAATGCATTGCACGCAAAAATCCAGCAATGCATTTGCGCCCCAGAGTGTGTTGCACGACCCAAATCTGTTGCAACCACCAAGCACCAGATCTATTGCAGCAGCCCCTTGTAGCTGGGCCCCCTTTTGGGTCAACCGGAGGGTCTGAACTTGGGACCCCAGAACATCGGCCATGAGGGGGATGAGGCCAAATCTGTTCAAAATTCATCCCTGGACCCCTCCCAGGGTCCATCTGGCGCAGCTTTGCGCCCCGGATCCGTTTCTGACGGACCCAGAACTCGAAAACCGCCCCAGGAGGCGGAAAGATTCAAAAAACCACTTTTGGAACCAACCACCTCAAACTTCTTTCCCCACTCCCTGCTCGCTGGAGCCAGTACTGTGCCACCTCAGCTCCACAGCCGACACCAGGCCCCACGTAATTGCAAATTGCAAAATTACAGGAATTAGAGTGGTTGAAGATAGGTGGAAGTTAGGGGACAGAGTGGTTTAAGATAGGGGGACGATGATTTTCCAAAAACAAGCAAAAACAATGGAAAGCTAAAGTCCACTACTTCAACCTAACTTCCACGACTTCCACAATTTCCACATAACTAGTTGTGGGCATCTCAGCAGCCGACACCAGGCCCCACGTGGGCGGCCCGGGAGCTCGGCCAGTGCAGCGTGGCAGCGCCCGCCTCCGCACCGACCTCGGCTGCGAGCAAGAGCGGCACTGGGTAAGAGTGACTTTTGTAGGGGGAGGGTGGGGTTCACTTCGCTCGGGAGCTCCCGAGCGAAGTGAACCCTACCCTCCCCTCAGAAATCATGGGGGGTAGGGGTAGGGTTCGCTTGTGGCCCCCTAAGTGACTTTTGGTGCGCGGACAAAAGGGCGCACGGTGGCCAAATCCAAGCGCGCAAGCAGCCACTACATCACAGCGCGCTCAGCGATCGGGGGGACCCAAGTGAGACCGCCTCACAGGTCACTCCGGCGAAGGGTCACCACTAACTGCGTGGAGGATGTTCGCAATCCCTGAACCCAAAAATCTGTCATCTCTTGAGGGCGCATCTTTTACTTCTGCCACCTTCCGCCGAGCTTCCGCCAGCTTCCGCCGGCGGAGCTGGCCTCGCTTTACTTCCGCCGACCTTCCGCCGCCTTCCGCCGAGAGAGAGATGACAACTCCTTCCACACTCGAAGGCAAGGCCCTTTCTGGAACCTCCCCCTCGGCTACACGCAATAGTTACCCTGGGCAAGAGCGACCTTTGGTGCGCGACATCTGGGGGGCCGCGGGCGGACACACCTCAGACGCGCAAGACGCTACTGTCGCATCGCGCTCGGCGACCCGGGGACTCCACTGTGCCCGCACCAAGGGTCACCCCGGCGAAAGGTCACTCGGACGTCTAGTCGACCCACGTGCAGTCGAGCCTCCGCGCCGACCGCCCCGCGGCGCGGCGCCCGGCGCAGCGGCGCGCGGCGCCCCGGCCGCCCGCGGGGCCGCAAGCCCAGCGCCGGCGGGGCGGCGGCGAGGCTCGGCCCGGCCGGGCGCAGCCCGGCCAGGACCGGCCCCGGAGGCGGCGGCGCGGCGCCCGGCGCGGGCGCGCCGCCGTGCCACCAGGCGAGGGGCAGCATGGCACTCGTCTCCCGCCACGGGGGGGGGGGAGGAGGAGGAGGAGGAGGAGGAGAAGGAGGAGGAGGAGGAGGAGGAGGAGGGGGAGGGGGAGGAGGAGGAGGGAGGAGGGGGGAGGAGGAGGAGGAGGAGGAGGAGGAGGAGGAGGAGGAGGAGGAGGAGGAGGAGGAGGAAGAGGAGGAAAAGGAGGAAGAAGAGGAGGGAAAGGAGGAGGAGGAGGAGGAGAGAAGGAAAAGGAGGGGAGAAGGAGGAGGAGGAGGCGGAAGAGGAGGAGGAGGAGGAGGACGAAGACGAGGAGGAGGAGGAGGAGGAAGAGGAGAACGAGGAGGAGGAGGAGGAGGAGGAGGAGGAGGAGGAGGCAGAGGAGGAGGAAGAGGAGGAGGTGGACGACGACGAGGAGAACTTCGAACTTAGAACTTTTCATGGAGTCCTGTCTGTGCGGTTTGCCTCACCACATCACTGCATGAACTCACGCTGCAATTCGGCACGCGCTAAGCCTCTGAGGCGGGCCACTAAGGACCCCACACTCACTCTCTAAGGCGAGACCTTCGCCCACCCCAGCAGAGGCACTGGCGGCGTCTGACACACCAGTGGGCACGCAGCCCGAAAGAGGAGGTCTGCCCACAGGATCAGGGAGTTCCTTTCCCCACCCCCCCCGCCCCCGCTCCGACCCGCCACCCCGGCCCATCACTCGATCCTGCGGGCGGCTACGAGCAAGCACCACTGTCGGAACAGCCGGCAGCCATGGGTCACTGCATGACGACGCGCGACGCGCAGGACGATCCAGAATGTCTGGAGCCACCTCTCCTCTCGCAATCAAATGCTGCAACCGCGCGCTGGTACTCAGGTTGCGTCTGACTTGCCCACCCAAGCCATGAGCTCTCGCTCGATGGGCCCCCATCGGAGCCGAGCCCATCTGGGACCCCCCGCCTTTTGCCTCGATCGCCGCCTCGAAGATCTTCGTCGACTCCACTGCCAGGGGCTTGTTGGAATCCGTCCGCATCATGGTGATGCACCGCTTCTCCTTCCGAGGGGGCTTGCACTTGAAGTAAGGAGCTGCGCGGCCGATCGTCTGGAGCATCATATCCTCGCTCATGGACTGCTGCCACCAGTCCTTTTGCCATCCTGCAGCAGCTTCTCTTCCTCGCCTTGAGTAGGCCCCGCTGTAGAAGTTCCCATCGCACAATATTTCATCCCCGCCACGAATATGTGCACGCGTGGCGGTCCCCTCTCGTAGTCCTGCTCCTCCCCCCCGCCAGCTTGGCCTTCGCGCCCTTGCTCTGGTCGTCGCAGCTCTTGCCCGCCGCGATCAGCCGCGCGGGGTGGGGGGCGCGACCTAGGGCGACGCCCCACCTGAAGAAGACCGAGCTGGCCACGCCCGCGAGCTCGCGCGCGGCGGCGAGCAGCAGGCGCGCGACCATCTCCACGACGCGCGCCATGTCCTCGCCGCCCTCGTTGCCGCCCTTGCCGCCCTGATTGCGAAACTTGCCGCCGCCCGCCGCGCCGCCGCTCTGTTCGCCCTCGCCGGGGGCGCCGCGTTTCTTGCTGAAACAAGATAACATCGCAAGCTCCGTCGACATCTGGAGCCGCCCGCTGCGCGGCATGTCCGGTTCTGATTGGGGGAAGCTGTCAGGGAAGATACTCAGAAGCCAAATCGCAACTTAGATCAGGAAGGTCTGCTGCTTCATAATCGCACAGGAAGCACTTGAGACTTCAAGGGCGCTGCATCTTCCCCAGCGCCCAGGGGCCAGTCGCACAGCAGCTGTCTCTCAGAATGGCCCCCAAGAGACGCCCAGACGCCGTGATCTCACTCGAGAAGACCTGCCTGCAGTGCGCACATACTTGTGCGGGCGTGATCACATGTGCTAGACTGCGTACATTCTGACGAACCGCGTAGTGACTCATGAGAGCCTTGCGCGCATGGAATAAAAGCCCCACGCGTGCCCAGATCCGCACTTGCCCGGCACGTTCACTGCGGATCCCCTCCTGGAGCTGCAGGAGGCCCCCCGGGCACGTCGAGCACAGGATGAGAACCTGGTGGAGGGACCTGAACCCGAGACGTAGCCGCCCTGAGCACCCCCATATCCAGCATGCAGAACTCCCCCATCTCCTCCGTCTTCCCGAACATATTCAAGCCCCCCACCCAGACATCGATCGCCTCGCTACCGACGACGCCCGCAGCGAATCGAGATCGCGCGCCAGCTGGCCCAGCCAAGGCGGCGCCGCCTCCGAGGGTGCCCCATCGAGCAACTGCGGAGAGATACCTGCTTCTGCCTCGCACTCTAGACCCCCGAACATAGCACGCAGCGGTTGGATGCGATGATCGGGTCTCTTTCTCCCAGCTCTGGTGCCACTTCGATCGGGGCATCCTCAATGCACTGCCAGCGCAGGGCGCGCCAACACTGGAGAACCTTTGGGTGGAAGAGAGAGAGAGAGAGAGAGAGAGAGAGAGAGACCTCGTTTTGCTCTCATATCGCAGAATTGCCCACCCAAGCATCGCGAAGCGAGCCAGCGAGGCCAAGCAACCGTCCAAGCCTCTATAACCGGCCTTGGTCGGCACAAACGCCACGAGGCCTGCAAGGAGGGCATTCTGCGCATTGCCCACAAGCAAGAACTCGCGCACCTTAAAGGGGATGGGCAGCGACCACATGCCGCCGACGCGAGAACAAAAGAAGTCCCGGCTGCAGGGCGCCCTCTAATTACCTCCTGGTGGCTAGAGTCCTGGACGCAGATATGGGGACCAAGGTGCCGCGCGCTGTCTTTGATGTGGCCCTAGATCCCTTCGATACCTGTTTTTTTTGTTTCGAATCGCTCGTCGAGCACGGTTCCCCTGGGGCGCGAAACGCTTCAACGACCCTTGCTTGCCGAGGTTCTGGGCGTATCCGAACGGCAACATCACGGAATCGAGAACCTGGTCCATCTCCTGAACCTCCCCACAGAGGTCCCCAAGGGTCATATCATCCGAGGCCACGAGGGCTGCCACTTCGAGACCAGGAGACGCCCTGCCACTTCGGGACCAGGAACCTCAAATCACTCTGAACGCCCTGCCACTTCGAGACCAGGAAGCGCGACCCCGGGTCAACTCGACTCCACTGGTAAGCCCACGGCAGAGTTGCCCGAACAAATACGTAAGAACGCTGCCGCTGTGGACGGGCCCCCCATGACGCCGCCTTGGAACGGCTCGACCAGCAAGGGCCCCTCTCCAGGGGTCAGTTCAATCATGCTGTTCTCATAGCGCTGCAAGCAAAGGGCACGGTTCGCCTGACAGGTGGCGCGGGCCACCGTGATCTCAAATCCTGACCTGTCCGAGCTCCCGAACGCGCCAGACATGTCCTTGAGACTCATCGCGAAATAGCGCCGAGCACGACACAGGCGCCAGCAGTTCACCTGAGCAATGAATATGGCGGGTTCACACAGCCGATGCGCTATAAACCCATGGTATTGTTGAGAGGGCGCTACGTTCAGCATGTTCGAATAGGAAGCCTTCCCTATAACAGACACAACATGTAGAACCCGTTTCCATATAGGTCCGTGCTGTGCGCGTTTTTGGAAGACCCACCCCACGATTACGATGCAAATACAACGGGGTCTTCTGATAGTGTCTGAATCTTGCAAGGCCAACAGAGACGACCCACTATAACCCGGGAGTGTTCGGCATAGACGCATCGTGCCCCCACTTCTCCTGACTGCTGAGACGCCCTCCAGCTAGGGTAGACTAGTTGGTGCCATAGTTCGAGTGGCGCACTAACTTCAGGAACCGCTCCACGCTTATGGGGCCCTCTTGACGCACGACCGATTCAGCGTCAAATCCTGCTGGCCCAGCTCCTGCTCATCCTCCGTCAAGTCCCACTAATAGGCATCCCCCGTCTCTCTCTCTCTCTCTCTCTCTTTTTCTCTCTTTCCGCCCGCCAAGCTTCCCAGTCCGCCTCTTCCACCATCAGGCCTCCTTCACCCCCAGGAGGTTGCCAGACTCGGAGCCGCTCCCCTCGACTGGGAGGGGGCCCCTGCACAAGGCGTCCGTCTCGACTCTCTGGGCCCATCCTGCAACGAGCCGCGCGCCTGGATAGAGAAAGTGCCTCAGAGGT